CTTCCCCCTCCTCTTCTTCCTCTCCCTCCTCCTCCTCCTCCTTCTCCTCCTCCATCCATTTTCCTTATGAATAACTTCTCCCTGTCGCACCCCGAGGCCACTTTTTTGGGCGGGCCGGGCGTTTCGCATTAGACTTCTTCACCCTTAATGACTCTGAAGCTTAAAAAGCGGCAACAGTTTCACAGATGGAGGGCGGGCGGTTTTCAAAATGTGGCTCTCGCCTTAGCTCCGCGCACCGTCGTTCTAAAAACTTGCAAGAGCTTCACGGCTTGACGATCACCCGTTTTCAAAATGTTGCTGTCGCCTCAGCGCCGCTCACATTCGTTTTCAACATTTGCAAGAGCTTCACGGATTGAGGATCACCGGTTTTCAACATGTGACTCTCGCATTAGCGCCGCGCATATTTGTTTTAAACATTCGCACGAGTTTCACGGATTCAGGGCGGTTCCTTTTTAAAATGTGGTTCTCGCCTTTAGCGCCGCGCACATTCGTTCATTAAAATTGGATGGGTTTCACGGATTTCCATGATCAGCGTACCAGGAATTGTGTTTTTGACGGATTCCGGGTTTTGCAGGAACAATAGTTACGTTGATTCGCGGTGTTGAAATCCCAAGACTGGCATTCTGGCACTATCCAGGATCGCCAAGACGCAACAATCAGGTTGATCAATGGCGTTGGAATCCCGAGAGCAATGGTTTGGCCTGCTTCAGGATCTTCAAACGGTTGCCTTCCAACGAGGCAGTTCCCCTCAATGGAAGTGAACCGTTGTATGAGCCTATGAAGAGGGAGCTTGGAGGGAGGGTGTATTCCAACATCGTTGATGGCTCATGGGTTTACGCTGGTCCTCCTCCCCCGACTGGTTCCTCCTCTCTGTTCTCCGCTCCCTCCTGCCTCCTGCTTCCTGCCTCCTCACCCCAGGAGGCGCTCCCGCCACACGCGCGGGGCGACATCGGCGCTCACCCGGTCGCTGGTTCCGCCTGTCCGTGCCTTCCCCTCGTATTGTAGGTTCGCGTCGTGTCGACCAGCGGCGACCCCGTCGGTGGCGTTCAACTTTCGACGCCGCCGGCGACGCAGAATCGGCCGATACTGAACGATCGGACGTTTCGGAAACGGCCGACTGTTCAGAACGCTCCACGACGTGTCAGGAACCAACGCCGAGGTCGGCACGACACGAACCTGCCGTCCCGTCCCGCCTCCGTCCTTCTCCCTCGCACTGTAGGAAACCATGGGAGCTTTGTATGCCCTAGTAACTCCGTCTGTCGAGGGCAGTAGTGTCGATCAGCGTCTGGTCATTGGAGAGATGCCCCGATGTATCGTCGATTTGTGTCGATGTAGCGTCCACGAGCGTCGATTAAGCAAGAGCCAACAAGCTGGTACGGGAGGCTCCCATGCGTTGCCGCAGAACCCTCGCACCTTCTCCTTCGTCCTGTGCCACTTCCCCAACGCCCCGCCAGCCATGGGACCACCAGCAGCCTGCCCACGACCTGGACGAGTGCGTTCAGAGCGTCTGGCACATGGTGTGCTACACCTACTTCCCCAAGGCGGCGGCCACAGGGGGAGGTGGCGATCGGGATACGGGGAGTCTCCACCACAGAGCCTCCGTAGGCCAAGAATTGGCTCTCGGAGGGTCTGCGGTCTTGAATGGCTTCTTTTTCTTTGGTGGACGGCGATTCGTTCCCACGGCTCGTTCTTTTTTTGTGGATGTTTGTGTGTTTGTGTTTATTATGCTTTATGTATTTACGTATTTCCTCATTATGTATGTATGTATGTATGTATGTATGTATGTATGTATGTATGCATAGCTCTCTCGTTATTTACATACCTTTCTCTCTCTCACTCTCTCTCTCTCTTTCTCTTTGTCTCTTCTTGTCCCACGCACGCTCTGTCTCTCTCTCTCTCTATCACTCTCTCTCTCTCTCTTTCTCTCCTCTTTCTCACTGTATCTCTCGCTCTCTCTGCTCTTCCTCACTGTTTTTTTTTTTTTTTTTTTTCTCTCTCTCTCTCTCCTCTCTCATTCTCTGTCTCTCTCTCTCTCTGTCTCCCCCCTGTTCTCTCTCTCTCTCTGTCTCTCAGGTCCTTCTCTCTTTGTGCAGTCGTCGCTGTCAGCGAGGTGCAGCCAGAGCAGCGCTCCACAATTCTCAAGGTTGCCCTGGCTGCTGGTTACATTGGCAAGGAAAGCAGCTCTCCTTCGGGATGTTATGTGATTGGAGGTTGGCGGTTCAGACCAACCAGAAGCCCGGTGTTGGTTTCGGTTTGTGTCGCACGTGCGGGCGAGGCGAAGTTATGTATGTGGGCGAGCTGTCTAGATCCTTCGCTGCGTAGCTAGATCGCCAGATCGGTATCGCCTTCCGACGCGAGGCCATCGGAAACTGGCAGCTTTCCAGACCTTCTTTTCCCCAGTCCGCACGGGCGCTCAGGCGTTCCAGGCAACGGAAGGCGCAACATACCTGGCTGCAGAAGGAGTGAGGAGGGAGGGAGGGAGGGATGGAGGAGGGAGGGAGGAAGGAGGGAGGCAACAGTGGAGGGAGGGAGAGAGGGAGGGAGGGAGGGAGGGAGGAGGGAGGGAGGGAGGAAGGAGGTGGAAGGAGGGAGGAGGGAGGCAACAGTGGCCGCGAGGGAGGGAGGGAGGGAGGGAGGGGAGGACACCCACGGTGCGAGGTGCGTCGCCGTGGAGCGGCCAGGGCGGGCCCGGGGCGGCGTCGCGGCTACACCCCCCAGGGGCTGGAGCAGGGGCTGCAGTGCACTATGTGGAAGAGGCGCGGTACCGAGATAGCGAGGTGGCAGGGCCCCATGCTCATGTCGAAGACGCCTGCGGCGAATCACCGTCGCCCCCTGCCTCTTTGGAAGCGCCCGCGTGGCCGAAAGTTGGATTCGAGCGTGGCCAAGCTAACGGGCCACGCGTTCCCCGAGTGGGTCTCGAAAGCCTTCGGGGAACACGGAGTCTGGCGAGCTATCGGACCAGGTGGTTTCCGAGCTTTCGGGCCTCCTGGAGGACGTCTTGGAGGGCTCTTGGGCCGTCTTGGAGGCCTCTTGCGGGCCTTTTGGGCAGTCTAAGGCCATCTTGAGGCCATCTGGGGCCGTCTTGGGTGCATCTTGGGGGCATCTTCGCTGTCTTGGAGGCCTTCTCGGCCGTCTTGGAGGCATCTTCGATGCCATCTTGGCCGTCTTGGAGGCCATCTTCGGCGTCTTCGGGGCCATCTTGGGCCGTCTTGGGCTCTTCTTGGGGCCCTCTTGGGGGCCTCTTGGGCTGTCATGGCGCCATCTTGAAGGCCTCTTGGGCGCTCTTGGGACGATGTTTGGGGCCTCTTGGGCCGTCTTGGGCCGTCGGAGAGCTGATAAGAAGAAAGTGCCAACATCCTTCAAAAACCTTCGGCAAATCAATGATGTTGGCCATTTCGGGCCTTCCTGGAGGACGTCTTGGAGGCCCCTTGGTGGCCTCTTGGCCAGTCGTAGGCCATCTTGGAACCATCTTGGGCCGTCTTGGAGGCTTCCTGGACGAACTTGAAGGCATCTTGGACTCTCTCGGACCGTCTTGGAAGCCATCTTGGACCATCTTTGGCGACTTGGACGCCATCTTGGGCCATCTTGCAGGCCATCTCGGGCCAACGTGACCATCTTAGAGGCCATCTTGAGCGGTCGTGGTCGTTGAGGTGGTTGCGGTCGTTGAGGTGGTTGCGGGGCCTTTCCAGGACCCTGGCGGGATCGGCCGAAGCCCCAGGGGGAGTTATTTTGGAAAAGGACCAACACCCAAGTCGAAACAATCTAGCACGCCAGGCATCCTTGTGGCAAGCCAACAGGAGGCGGCGGAGAATGGCCTTCGGCCCATCCCGCCACCGTGCCTGGGTTGTGTTGTGGGTCTGAGGCCTCTTGGATGTTCATCTGGATCTCGTGGAGTTCTCTCGGGGGCCTCCTGGAGGCAGTTCTGATGCCCCTTAGTGTTGTCTCGGTGCCTCAATTGTGCCTCGTGCGGGCCTCCTGGTGGCCTTTTTGGCAGCGTGTCCCCGGTTCCGTTCGGTTCGTTTCGGTTCGGGGGAATTGGGTTCGGTTCAATACGGTTCCGGTTTCGGAGCTGTTTGAGGCGGTTCCCATTTCGAGGGCGGTTCCGTTTCAGCCGGTTCCATTTCGGTTCTCGGTTCTTGCAGATGACGTGTGCGCGTGTGGAACCCTGGGGCCAAGGGGGCCACTGGGCCAGCTACCCGACGAGCCAGGGGAGCCACTGGGCCCAGACGTTACGCATGGTGCCCTCGACGGACCAGTCGACAGCATCGTGCCCCCTGGACCAGGGGGCTCTGGCGACAGCGGGCGATTCCTCAGCGCCAGGATAGAAAACGCTTGGACTACGATCTGGGACAGCACCGACCACTCACTCCTGGCATGGGTCATCTGGGAAGGCAAGGGCGCCGCCCGCGCCCTCACCGGCTCACTGGCGCTTAGCAAGTGGCGTGGTGGTCTGGGCTTGGTTCGGGCTCTCGGGTGGCTCGGGGCCTCGAAATCTGCCGGGGTGCAGTCCGCACTTCCTCGATAAATATGTTCTTGAAAGCGTTCAGCTCCAACAGTTGCATGGATGGAGGGCGACCCATTTTCAAAATCGTTGCGATATGTCGTAGTAGTGCGCGCGCTGGCATGGGCATTTAACTCACAACAGACACGCGCAATGATTCATGGCCAAGTGGTTTGTGTATGCCAGTGAATCCGTAGGGGCCGTAGGACGTCCACGAACAGAAAGTGCGAAACCCTACCCGGCCCAGAGGGATGGGGAGCAGGAGGAGGAGGAGGAGGAGGAGGGGAAGGAGGAGGAGGAAGAGGAGGAGGAGAAGGAGGAGGAGGAGGAGGAAGGGAAGGAGGAGGAGGAGGAGGAGGAGGAGGAGGGGGAGGGGGCTGGGTGAAGAGGAGAAGCAAGGGCAGCAAGAGGATAATATATATCCAACACGCCGTTGGCCCTGTGGGGCTGTTGGGAACACGATACCGTCTCCGTCCCTGCAGCCAGTTTGGTTCAGGTTATGTTTTTCGGCTTCGCTGACAGATCTCGCCCGACATCGGTCATCGTCAGTTCGCTATGGCGGCTCAGCAGATCGTGCTCGACGACTACCGCACGTTCGATCGCCCCCGTCAGCCATACCGCAACAGCAAGATGTACAACTCAGCTGGCATCATGAAGCCCGTGGACCACTACCATGACAACCGCGACTACGCGGCTCCGCCGACCATGATCCGTGGCCCTGCCGACGGAGTACTTGTTCCTCAGAGCTGGCTCCCTGGCGCATATGGTTTCCCTGCAGCGGGCTCTATCCACGTCACGCACCACGCCTACACGATCCCTCCAGGGCAGTGGAAGGGTCTCCCTACGTCTGCTCGTGGGCTTGGCTACGGCGAGGTCTGTGTGCAGTGCGGAGTATGGGACCGGGCCCGCGTGACCAACGGCGCCTTGAAGCAGAGCCTCCGCGAGCCGTGCCGGCGCTTCCCCAAGACCCAGCACTACAAGAGAACGCTGGCGCGCCTCCTGCGCGGCGATGGCCCATACTCGCGGCCGCAGCCGCAGCAGCAGCAAGGAGCAGCAGACTTGGACAGCGAGGAGGAGCTCGAATCGCAGCTCGAGTGGGACCTAGGGAGCAGCACCGCCGGGGACGAGCAGGCGCAGCAGATGCAGCCGGAGAAGGAGCATATTCAGGAGGAGGGGTTCGACTCCGACGCCCCCACGGAGAGGATGGTCAATGACGCGAGGTGGTCGTGGCCAGCATCGGAATCGGGGTTTTCGCCAGCAGCGTCGGGATCGGGGTCTTCGCCAGCAGCGGCGTCGTCCTCGTCGTCGGGACCCAGGCCGCAGTAGGTGGCAGCTAAGCGACGGTCAGCAGGCCTGTGTACATAGCTGGGCGCTGGCAGACTGTTATCTGGCGGAGTCGGGGTTTTCCAGGGGTAATGTCTCCCCGTCCAGCACGTTTTGATTCGCACAGCGCTGTCGCGCCCGACGAGCATTGCTTGAACTTTGCTCTGAACCAGCACAGAGACGACCAGCGCGCACAGTCAGCGCCCCTCCCAGACTTCGCCATCAGCATTTGCAAGCCAGCTTGAGATGGCGAGGCACAGGAGAGAGGATGATGATGAGGCGTGCTCCAGGAGCAGGGGGAGGAGGAGGAGGAGGAGGAGGAGGAGGAGGAAGAAGGATAATAGGGAGAAGATAAGAGAAGGCCGATGGGCCCTGGGGGGCTCAGGAAGTGGAGGCCGTCGAAACCGCCGAGCACGAAAGCCAGAGATCTTGTCGAATGCCTCAAAGCTGGCCGAAAGCCTAAAAGCATAGGCCCGAGAGTCGAAAGCCTCCGTCGAAGCATAGGCCCGAGAGTCGAAAGCCTAGAAGCCTGACAAAAGCCTCGATGCAGAGCCAGCCCGAAACGAAGACAACCCGTTGTCGATAGCCTAATAGCCTGACGAGAGCCTAGGGAGAAGCCTAGGGAGCCGGCCCGAGAGTCGAAAGCTTAGAAGCCAGACGAATGCTCGAAGGCCTCGATGCCGAGCCAGCCCGGAGCGAAGCCAGCCCGTCGTCGAAGTTGACGACGGAGACCTCGTCGCTCACGACGGCCTCGCGGGGGGGCCCTCGATCCTCATGATCCTGATCCTCCCTCCATCCTCATCTTCTAACACCATTCCCTATAGCTAAGTCATTCAGCATTGCAGCTCAGGCCGATGACATTTTGTCCAGTCTGCCGCAGCTTCCAGTGCGTTGATTGTCGGATCAGACGTAATTACAGGCGATGGCGGCGATGTGCCTGGGCAGCCACTCCAGATGGGAGGTCTTGGTTGACCGTTAGCGGCTCTGGATTAGGCTGTCGGGCGTGCTCTGCTGCAGCTGCTGGTCAGGCAAGCAGGACACCCAAGACGGCCACCCCTCCTCCTCCTCGTCATCCTCCTCCTCCTCGTCCTCGTCCTCCTCATCCTCTTCCTGTCATTCCTTTTTCCCCCATCCTTTCTGGTCTTCTCGTCCTCGTCGTCTTCGCAGCTCCTCGCCATCCCCCCCCCCCCCCCCGCCCATTAAGGGCTGGGCGGCGGGGCGTTGGGGGTCGGGCAGTGGAGAGCGAAGGAGGGTGAGAGGGATCAGGGGAGGTCTAAGTGCGTTCCCAGCCAGGGCATCTCAACAGTGCCTGCGAAACTACGACCGCTGGCGACCAACACCTTGAGGAGCAAAGGCTCGACGGCCCCCCCCCCGCTAATGCTGCTGCTGCTGCTGCTGATGCTTCCTCCTCATCTCATGTTTTTCCCCCCCTTCACCGCCGCCCCCCTTCACCGCCGCCTCCCAGGCGGGGTCCAAGAGTTTGCCCTGAAGCGCCATAGCACGCGCAAGTCCCATGTCAAGTGTTTGGAGCAAAATGTCGTGGAGGCATCGGCGCCCGCTGCGGCAGAGTTCAAGCGCGCGCTTGACCACGTGCGCCTACACTCTGCTTCCATTGGGCGCGGTATCCCAGGACTCGGCGGCCGCAGGAAAGTTGCTCAGTTCATGTTTACGCTCGCCCTTGCATCTCAGAGATTGGATCAAGACTTTTTGCAAAAAGCGACGAGAATGGCAATCATTCGGGACGCTAGGAAGTCGAAGTTATGCGTTCGATTTGTCATGGTGGATGAACAGTTGAGGGTCAGGCGCGGCATCCTTGGTATTTCCAAAGGCCACGGCAGCAGTGCAGAAGACATTGTACGGGCTACGACTTCAATTTTTGAAGAATTCTCAAAGGTTGTCAGCGCATCTCGGAAGCGTGTCATTGCCCCGATTGTGAATAACAAGTTACGCAAGATATGTAAATTCATTGTTCAAGATAGCGCGTCTGATGAGGTTCTCGCAGCGATATTGCAGAGAAGACAATTGGTCCCATTGTTGGCCCCACTCACGCCCAACGTTAAAGCTTGCCCGTTGTGTAAAGCCCATGCCGGCAGAAGAATCCTCACGAGGCCATGGGCGTCGGACGCAGTTTTGTGCGAGAGTGTAAAAATGTTTGCTTATCGCAACTGTTCTCCGGCCCAGCTTATTCAGAGGAGCCCCGACTTGCGACAAGAGTTTGCCGTCGTCCTGGCCCGCTTAAGCCCCGACCAAAAAGCACATTGCAATAATTTGCGGGCGGCGAAACATAGGTTTGAATCACTGCAAAAGCCGCTAGGTAGAACATGCCGGCATTTTTTGGCTGCCCACAGTCTCATGGTTCGCATTGCATGTAAACGGACAGGCGAACCTCAGCAGCGAGCAAAGTTATGGCTAGACTGGGTTGGACAATCTCCTCGACGACCTTTGATGTGTGCTTTGTTGGCAGATGCTGCAGATGAGGCAATGCTCATCATTCGTGCGTTCGATTCGGAAGAGTTCGATGTCTCTGAGTTGGCAACGCAGATACAAGTATTCTTGGTCAGGATCTACGACCTGTTTGGACCATCTCGTGGCGCTCTGGCATCGCCCGGATACACGCAGACGATGATGAAGTTCTTGGAGGAGCCGCTGGTGTGGATCATCAATGGCAAGCCTGCTTCTCTTGGTACCCCGTCAGCTGCCGACCTGGACGATTGCTTTGACGTTATGCGGAGCTGGGTACAGCTAGCGCGCGAAGAGGTGCGCGCAGAGTTCCCAGACTTTGAGATTTCTCAAGCATTTAGCATATTCAATACCAACAATGCGCTTGTAAACCGACAATCTGCAAACATTCGCACATATTGTGAAAGGCTCAGCAAGTTATCCGATGCCGATCAGACCCGCTTGGAACAGGAGATCATTCGTATCAAACCTTTGGTGATTGCAGAAGCAAGATCAAAAAACTGCGACGATAAAACAGCATGGGTTAATGTTTTGTCACGCATTCGAAGCTCCCGAATGCAAATAGCATATGAATCTGTGTGGGACATAGTATCTGATACTGTGGCTATGCCTGGCCCGCGAACCCCGACTGCACGTGTTCATTTGCGTCGAAATCCTCCTCCTGCTCGTCGTCGCCCACCCTCCTACCTTCGAACTCCGCCTCTCTCCTCCGCCTCCGCCTCTGCCGCATCCTCCTCCTCCTCCTCCGCCGCCTCATCCTCTGCCTCCGCATCTGCCTCGTCCTGGTTCCCCCCATCATCCCCCGCCCCTGTCGCCCTCTGCCCCCCATGGATAGCAGAGCCTCGACGTCCATACTGAAGGGGCGTGCTCGATGGTCTCGAAAGCCTGCCGGAGCCCGGCTGGGGGGCCTTGGGCTTGGGATGAGAGAGGGGGGGAAGGAGTCGCGATAGCATGCCATGGAGCCCTTCTAGGGACAGCGGATTGGCTCGCGTTTGTGGCGTCGAGCTCGGGGGTCGAACAAACGCTCGCAAAAGGCATGGATGCTGTTGGTGTCAAACAAGACCACTGTGGCGGAGAGGTCGAGTGGGCTTATTGGAAGGTCAAATGCGATTGCTCTCGCGACCCAGAAGACGCGCTGATTGCACTGGCACAGAAGATGTGGGTCCGCATGCTCGGGACTGCAAGGTCAACGGCAGATCGGGTGGGGCGGGCTGACAAAGGCATAGTTCGAGGGCCCCGGGAAGGCACAGAGCTAGCATTTCTCAAGGCCCGTCGTCTTCATGGCCCCAGCGCTTCGAGCGCCGCCACCATGGGCCGCCCCATCGATACTCTTATCGGGGATATGCACGTGCATAATTGGGGGGCAGCGCATGAGAAGGAAACCGCGTGGGCACAGAACAAGAGGGCCAGGCGTCTGGTAGATGCTGCAAGGGATGGCCTCCTGACGAGAGACGAGTACACCGACGAGCTGCAAGAGCAGATGAGGGAGGCGGCTGCCAGCGAGCAGGCATCGCCCGCGGGGGGCATGCATAACCGCCCAGGTCCTGTCTTGTGAACCCACCCCGCGCCCCCAAACAGCCCCCCCCCATCCCTGGATCCCCCGCCCCCCTTCCCCTCCTCCTCCTCTTCTTCCTCCTCCTCTTCTTCCTCCTCCTCACTCCTCCTCGTGCTCCTCCTCCTCCCCCTTATCCTCATCATCCTTCCTCTCCTCGTCGCTTCGGGGGCCCGTCATCCAATTCCCATGGGCCCAGGGGCCGCCGATGGCAGGGCGGGGGATGGGGGGGGGGGGGTGCATCAGACGCCATGGGCCCCCCCTGAGGCGAGAGCAGACAACCGCGCCAAGGCAGAGATCCGCGTCCTGAGCAAAGCAATTGGCGGGGAAGTTCCGACGGCTGAGTCTCCGAGGGGGTCTAAGTGTTTCTTGGATAATGGCGTCGCAGAGAGGTGTGCTCCATTTCTGGGCAGATGGGGCATGGCGCGCACGCTCCAGCATTGCGAGGCCGATGTCTTCGTGGTCGTCGACCCGGGCAAGATTGCTCCATCCAGCGACAGGCCCACCTGGAGCCTTGAAAAAAAAAAACCCAAGGCCCAAGGTTTTATGTTGTTTTGTTTTTGAGTGTAGGGTGGCCCATAGGGGCAGGGAGTTGAGCAGTCTCACCATCCCCATCACTGCCGAAGCAGGTCTTGGGCTGCTGTTCTTCGTGGGGGTCTGGTCATGTCTGTGCGCGCGCTCGAGGGCGCAGACGGTCCCTGCATTCGCTTTCTTCGAGGACTGCGACTCCAACGAAGGTTATATGTATCAGCAGACTTTAGGGAGAGGAACCCAGACAAGCACGCCGTCATTAGGAATTGCATTGAGCATGCGGGGGCGGGCAAGTTTCGAATCATTGATTTTGCTGTGTACAATGCGACACATATGCGTAAGGACACCTGGGCCTTGGTCACTGCTGCCGACAAGCGCGACCACCCAGATCACTTCTCAGGTGAGAGGGTCGTCACAGGCCCTGAGTTGTTTAAGACGTTGTTGACAGCGTCTCACCAGGAGTCTCGTTTCGGCGCTGGCCGCGTGTTAGATTTCTAGATATTCTCCGCACCGTTTCGGCATTGGACTGTGCTTGGTAGACGGGCGCAGCTATAGCGTGAGTGTGTGTTGGGTATGCTGCTGCATAGTAGTGCTACGTGCAGAACGCGGGGAACTGCACCGCCCGTTTCCAACGCCCGTGCCTGGCAAGTTTGTGCTTGTATATGACATGGGACGACATTGGGGCAAACGAAGGGGGGGTCTCACGCGTGCCAGGCATGC